TATATATATATATATATATATATATATATCAGGATTTCCACAATAATGTTAAGCAGCAAAATGTTCAACATTGATAATAATAAGAGCCATTATTAAACAATAGAACATATCATCATTTGTTTATTATTATTCATATGATCATATATTTGATGAAAAAAATCAGCAATATTGTGAAATATTATTTTAATTTAAAAGAACTGTTTTTTATTTTAATATATTTAAAAATGCAATTTATTCCTGTGATGGCAAAGCTTTCAGTGTTACATGATCCTTCAGAGAACATTCTAATATGCCGTTTAGGTGCTAAATTATTATTGGTGCTCAATTATTAAGATGTTTTCCTCCTGGGTGACTGCTGGTGTAGGCAAAACCTGATACACACACACAAACATGCACTCATTAAGAACTTTGCTTCAGAGTATCTTCCCTGTTCCACCCATCCAAGGAGATTCCCCTCCTTTCAAAAACATCTTTGCACTGAACTGGTTACTACCTATGCCCTCTGACTCCTTGCCAGAATGTTAGCAGCCATTCATATATGTTAATCATTCATACTTTTACCCACAGTAACGCCCGTTTACAAACACTTTAGTCATGGCCTAATGGTTAGAGAGTCAGACTTGTAACCCAAAGGTCACAGGTTTGATTCTCTGTATCGGCAGGGATTGTTGATGGGGGAATGAATGACCAGTGCTCTCTTCCACTTTCAATACCACGACTGAGGTGAGACCCTTGAGCAAGGCACCGAATCCCCAACTGCTCGCTGGGTGCCGCAACAAAAAATGGCTGCACACTGCTCCGGGTGTGTGTTCATGGTGTGTGTGTGCACTTGGATGGGTTAAATGGGTTAAAAACCCGAGTATGGGACACCATACATGGCTACATGTCACGTCACTTTCTTCTTCTTTTCTTTCTTTCTTACCTGGTCACATATGATTATTCTAAGTGGTTTATTTAGACTATAGAGAGATGTTGGTGTTTTCCATAAGAACTCATGATACTACCACAGTTGATCGCCCACTTTTAATTAGGTTATTAATTTTAATGGAAAGTCTCATCAAATGCAATCAAATTTAGCTGCTGACATGCATTGGGCTGTGAAATCACTACATTACACACACACACACACACACTTGATGGTTTCACTGTATTTGAGGGGGCATCTCATAAGCACAATGATTTTAATATAGCAGAGGTTATTTGGTAAATCTAACCCTAAATTGAACCCCCACATATAACCTGTTGATTTAAAGCAAGATGCTTTTCATGTAATAAATACCACCTCAGATGTCAGTTTGACCCTCACAAACCTTCCCAAACCCACACACACATGTTCTGGGGAAATTATAGAGAAAACAACAATAGACAATCAAAATGTTCAACATTGATAATAATAAGAGCCATTATTAAACAATAGAACATATCATCATTTGTTTATTATTATTCATATGATCATATATTTGATGAAAAAAATCAGCAATATTGTGAAATATTATTTTAATTTAAAAGAACTGTTTTTTATTTTAATATATTTAAAAATGCAATTTATTCCTGTGATGGCAAAGCTTTCAGTGTTACATGATCCTTCAGAGAACATTCTAATATGCCGTTTAGGTGCTAAATTATTATTGGTGCTCAATTATTAAGATGTTTTCCTCCTGGGTGACTGCTGGTGTAGGCAAAACCTGATACACACACACAAACATGCACTCATTAAGAACTTTGCTTCAGAGTATCTTCCCTGTTCCACCCATCCAAGGAGATTCCCCTCCTTTCAAAAACATCTTTGCACTGAACTGGTTACTACCTATGCCCTCTGACTCCTTGCCAGAATGTTAGCAGCCATTCATATATGTTAATCATTCATACTTTTACCCACAGTAACGCCCGTTTACAAACACTTTAGTGCTCTAATCATGCAGTGCATGAGTGTGTGCATGAGTTTTTGCTAGGTGAGGCATAGCTTGATGGATTGATGGCGTGACGTCAACACACAGTTACCTTGCCGTGAGGGAGGGGGGAATTAATCTGTGTGTATGTGTGTGTCAGGAGAGAGAGAGGGAGAGAGAGAGAGAGAGAGAGACTCGTTAATTTCCAGGGAAATGGGCACATTTGGAATAAGCGGTACCAGTCAGCAAGCGCACTCTAATATCCCAGTGGCTGTGGAAGAAGTGTTTCCAGAGAGAGCGAGAGACGGGAGGGAGAGAGAGAGGGAATATGAGGGCAGTACTCAGGATGAGCCTGCGCTTTGAGGCTGTAAAACACTAGACCCTGAGGGCATTCTCTGAGGTAAGCTCTCTCATATTTTAACAAGGTTTGACGCCACGGTGTTAAAACTACGGCGCGTCTATTCTTTGTGTTTGTAAAGTGGCGCGCGATAAAGGTTCGAGTCTCCTCGCGTTTACTTGGACGCTCCGCTCTGTTCTGTCAGATGTGACGGAGATGCAAACTCTCCTGAGGTAAATAGGCGTTAAAGGAGACCGGGCCCCGGGGTTATGGGCGGTAAATTGAATTAGTCGGGAGTCTCGGGACATGAGAGTGGATAAACGAGCTCAAAGCTGCCTTTATGAGTCCGTTCGGCGTTTTGGCAGTCACTTCACTCAAAGTGAGAGAAGTTTATACAATCTAACTGAGATGTGTTGAATGGAGCAAACGTATATATCAGCTCCAGCCAGCTCTTTTCTAGTGTTTCTGGGCTTTCTTGTTTCAGCAGGCTGCAGCTATTTTGAGGTCCTCACTGACCAAATTAAAGCAGCCTCACGCAGCAAATTACACACTGAGAAACTGCTTTTAGTTCAGAGACGCGTGTGACAGACAGACACAGAGAGAGAGAGAGAGAGAGAGAGACCCACTTTATGAGGGGAGTTAAACAGGTTTGTTAAATGTCACACCGCAGCCGCTTTTACTGTCACCTCCTAATAAAGCGACTGTTGTATTTATAACAGTTTTTAAATACGATCTCACCTACATGGAACTTGCGTTACATCCTGAAGGTTTGTATAGGCGACGGAAAACAGTGCTTTTGTCGGATTATTGCTCACATTTTAGTGAATGTGTGACTTTTACAGCTACCGGCTCGTTTTGGTTGAAGTAAACAGAAGTCTCCTGTGTTTATAATGCACGAAAGATGTATGTCTGTTGTTCTTTTAAACGTAAGTGGTTCGTATGCACAGGAAACTATATCTATCTATCTATCTATCTATCTATCTATCTATCTATCGAGGTTTTAAGCTTCTGTAAAACCCTGCTCTTGGTCATTTAAATATGTTAAACATCTTCATTTAAGTATTAATTTAAGTGTACCCCCTGCCACCAGTGTCTTGTTTCGTTAAAAAAAAAACTGGCTTTCATTGCAGATCTTCAGGAAAACTGACTGTGGAAAAGAAAAGTGAGCTGGTATCAGCCGCAGTTGTTGAGGTTCACGTCGATGCATTGGGCGTCCAGCTGAGATGCGCGACGCTGACGGTCCTGCCCCGTCTGTCGAACCGGACCAATGATGATAATGAAGATGATGATGATGTTCGCACGGCGCGTGTAGCGCTAAATCACCACTACCGGACTCTTAGGAGACACTCCACTCTGATCCGCGCTCATTCAAACTTCAGATGGACTACCTTCACTCTGCACTGACCAGTAAAATGAATTGGATCACACTCCTGCTGGCCGGCTTGACTTTTTGGGGCAAAGTGTCCGTGCACAGCTGCTTAGATTATGATGACAGTTATGATTATTATGAAGAGGAGAAAACAGAAACGATAGACTACAAGGATCCCTGCAAAGCTGGTAAGATGGTTTTGTGCGATCTATCCTTGCTTTTGATCTGATAACACTTTTTGTGAGGTGATCAAATGAGAAAGCATAAACATCTAATTCTCGTTCCTGCATAGTGATAAACGGATGGAGGAGTGAGCTGTTGAGCTTGTTTTTCTCAAACTTTATTTATTTATGTATTTTTACGCGGAGACTCGCGCTGGTCACGCATCGAGTCCTCTGGTGCGCGAGCATCAGCGACGCCTCTTTTTATCCATTTTTTTTTATTTTTTGACGTAGAAATATCCCTCGCAAGCCTCGCACGACCCCTCCTCCCCCGCCGAGATGATCTGGCCCGCTTTAATTCGGTTTCTCCCGGGATGATCCCGTCCATTTTTTAAAAAATTTTGACGTAGAAATATCCCTCGCAAGCCTCGCACGACCCCTCCTCCCCCGCCGAAATGATCTGGCCCGCTTTAATTCGGTTTCTCCCGGGATGATCCCGCGGCTCGCGAGGCCACGTGCGCTCCGCTGTCATAAACCCGTGCCTTCGATTTACAATCTCTTATGTAATTATTATATCAATCTAACGAATGTGAAAGTGAGTTCACTCCCTCCATCTGAATCAGTGTTTAACTTGCTGACAGGCAAAAGTTATGACGAATGTTATTAGAATAATTAATTTTTATTATGTAAGAAAAAGGAACGAGTAATTACAAACAATCCTTGGCTTTTATATACGTTAACATTGTGCATAATTGTATTTGTATTTTACGTTTATTGTTACGTAATGATTATAGATTTAGTGGTATAGCCTAAACACCTATAAACATTTTTCATGTAATATGGAGGGTTAAACTGTAAAGATTACAGAAGCACTCAAGGGACAGTGTGTATATGTATGTATATAGTCAATATTAGTGGTGACGTGTATGTATTGTATCTTTATGTTGACACATCTTCATAAAGAAGGCCGGTAATATGATTTCTTATTCACTCTGTCCTCTCTTGGATGTGTAAGTAAACTCCACCTAAGGCAGAGCAGATGTTTAAATGCATCATCTGCAGTTACATTTGGTAAAATTGCTCTGTTCCTCCCTCTCTCGCATGCCAGCACACAGATTTACACACATAATCTCCCTCTCCACATTCTCTCTCTCGTTTTCCTTTGTGTATATATAATGTTTACTCAGGAACTATAAATCTGAGCATTTGTTTCTCCACTGCGATGTGTTGGCATTGTTTCCAGGCTTTCATGAGACAGATGTATGTACACACAGGCAATATGGATTACGGATGAGAATGAAAAAAGCCCGTTTGAGTGGTTTTGAGAGGGGATTGTAAGAGTGTTTGTATGCGTGCAGTGTGTTTGGATTAGTGTGTCTGTGTTTGGGTGTATGCGTGTAGGAGTATGACTGTTTTACAGTTGTAGGGAGGATCTCTGTTTTTCCAAACTGTGAAATATTCAGCCTAGAAATTTGACAGGCTCGTTGATAGCAGTACTACTGGGAGAGGGTGGACAACATCATCACATAACCTTTAAGCACATACATAAATAAATAGACAAAGAAAAACACTTTTAATCTTTATTGCACACACTTCTGTCAGATATCTATCACATATTCCCAGGCTATCGTAATTCATACTGTTAGTACTGGAACTTTAAAATGCTAGTAAACAGCCTGTTCCATGTATATGAACATGTACCCAACTCCCTTATAAATACCAGTGTACACCCAAGATGACTGAATGCCCTTCTCAGGATAACATTTCAGGTATGGTTCTCATCTGCCATCATGCTAAACTTCCATTAATGTTCAGTCTACTTTTGGCAGTGGGCCCCAAGAAAGACACTTCTCTAAAACATCATGATGGTAATATTAAAATGAACAGATGTAATTCATAAACCACAGCTTCATGTAGTTGATACAGTAATGACACGAATTGGTGGCGGTGGCGTTAAAGTGCTTGAAAGATCTTTGCATCACACCAGGTGAAATGCTGACCATCCAAAAACTGTCCAGGTCATTGAGCGTGTTCGATTTAGCTCTCTCTTATGCTAACGGTAGCCACTCTCTTAGCTGAAGGAGCATTTTACCGACGCGTTCGTTCGCAGAAATAGCTTGCATTAGCATATCTGCGCTGTGTTGGTGTTTGAGCAGAAATAGCCATGCTAATTAAAGGCAAGGTGTCATTGGGGGGGAGCTGCTGTGCCTTTCGGATGAATGGTCCCAAATTTAGTTTAATTGTTTACAGGCACACAGTATTAAACCTAGGCTTTGTTTGACATAACACACACACAAACACATTGGGTTTTCATGTTTTGTAGGAACTTTCCTTAGACATACTGTATACTTTAATATTCTGTATATACTGTATTATTCTACCCTCTAACTCTACCCCTTCTCCAAAACACAACCCTCACAGAAAACAGAAAAAAAACATAATTTGATATGATTTATAAGCTGTTTTTCCCCAACAGTTTTTTACATTTGGTCCCCACAACATAGGGACCACACATCACACACACATATACTTTTGCTTATATATCTGTTTCTCCTTTACATGTGTTGTTTTTGGTATAAGCTAATTGTGATGACTAAACACTAGACTTAACCATACCATTAAAATACATATTTGGCATTTATAATACACATTTTGGCATGTAAATAAATACATTATTCACTCACTTTATTAACTATATGGAAGGGTTTTGGTGTGGCAAGTTGGATTTGGTTAAGTTTTACCGGTGTTTATTGTACATTTGGGTTGCAAAACCTGAAATGCGTGCACATTTACTTCTGAATGTTCAAGGTGTACCACTTTCATGAGTTCCTATTAATGGTTTGTTTTGGTTGACATAACAGAAGGCTATTAGCTCCATTAATGAGGTAAATGCATTGTTTAGAACTTTTGTTCTTGTTTACAGAAACCGGGAGCTCTATCGGTTTCAATAGGTCACTAAAGGGCTAGTAACATTATACAGTCATTAGGCGATGTTATCTGTTTCTGTTATCTTAAGACATTGTAAACCTAATGACATTGTTGCCACAGAATAACCAATCTTTTCTGATTATGCAAATTTAGCCCACACCTCCTTGTTTAGGCAAGAGAAACATAAATAAACCCGAGGGAGTTTACTGGGGGTGTATGCAGACAGACTTAGCTTAAGGGACAAACACGCAACTCTCAGAGTAAGAGTCAACATCTTTACTGGTATGATTGGCAGCATTTACAATATTGCCATAGTGTTTACACAGTACTTTTAATAGCAAAATTAAAATACAGAAAATAAATGAGGTCAGGTAAAGAAAATAACATAGGAAGTAAAGTTAAGTTAAAACGGACAAGTAAAAATAGAATTAAACAAAACAGAATATGTTAGGGGTGAATTTATGGTATATACAAAATATAGTTGTAGTAATGGATCACCCATCAAAGTAACACCCACTAAAAGTAACACTATTACGCTCTTTTACCCCTTTGTATTGTTCATTCATAGTGTTTGCAATTCCTGTCAGATACTTTCTGCACTTCATTCCTCTTTCTTTCTTCATTGCCTACACATTCATTTTTTCCATTAGTTTTATAGAGGGCAGTGGTTGAGTTTGTGTAATTGTAGTTTATAGTCCTGTAGTTTATAGTAGTCTGTATCCAGTAAACAAGGGCAGCTTAATGGCAGAGAAGTACAATGGGGAGTAATTCATAAAAATGTAATGAACAAAGCAAATTATACTTTATTGTCTTTCATATTAGTGATGAACATCACCATTGCCAAGTCAATGCTTTACTCAAGATAAGTTAGTCTCTCTCTCATTGAGAAACTGCACCTCTCACAAAAATGCAAAGAATACACATCATAATTTTGTTCTGAATATAATAGGAGTTTTGGAGAAAAAAGGCTTTCTAGACTTTTTAACTGAGGTAAAAGTTGTTAATAGACAGATTTTCTTACATCTCTGACATTTGTGTCCAGCTTCATCAATACATACAGTATATTGATGTAGCCAAGTATGCTACATAGCAAATCTCAACTGCTTATATCATCGCAAAATGTAAACGATATTGTCGCCCAATCTGCTAAATGTGACTAAAATACATGAAGATATAACATCATTATATCTCAGATATTAACATCATTATTTTCTGTAAAGCTGCTTTGAAACAATGTGTATTATGAAATAAAGTTGACTTGACATGATCAAGTAACGATAATCGTACCATTTTTACAAATCACCTTAAATATATATTATGTTGGAACCCTCTTATAAAATTACGGATCACTTTAAAAACCCTGTTTTAATTACTCACCAATATGTATGTTATATTATGTGGTGCAGCTGGGTGTAAATTTCACATCTACATACGTGTCAGATTCATATCCATCTGTTTACATATTGCTTATGACCTTGTTTCATATGTGTGTATGTACGGTGGAAATGACTCTGTGTGGTTGATCATCTTTGCTGCTGCTGTTCTTGGGAAAACAGAATGTGAATATTTGGCCGTGTGCTTATCTCATGCCATTAAAGTGCACTAAACACATTTCCATCTCTTTGTACGCTGATTTCCCTCACTGTGTGTGTGTATGTGCGCGCGCGCGCGTGTGTGTGTGTGTGTGTGTGAACGAATGGGGGAGCCCACTTCATTCAGGCAGTTATCTCTTCCTGGTAGCCTGCATCCTGACACTCAGCTTGAGAAGAATCTCTCTCTCTCTCACTCACACTCACACACACACACACACCTTCATTCATGCCCCTTACAAAAGAGGGTTTTTGTCATAAAACTGTGCACGCGGCAAAACAGAAAGTGTGAGTGAGTGAAAAGAGAAAAGACTTTCACTTGCAGTTGTATTGTTCGACTGTCTGAAACGTAAAAGTGTTTATGTAGAGAGTTCTATTCAAATACACTGAATTTTATTTTTCATTCAGGTTTTACTTGAATTTAAAACACATGACATCAGCCTGTCCTCACATGTCTAGACACACTCACATTAAAATTCAAAGACCTCATCACACGGCTTTTGGCTCTTT